GATCCCCCCTCCAAGCTCCCTCTTCGCAGGCGCCTACACGGATTCATGTCCACCGAATGGAAACCCCGCGGGAAAACAACCATTTGAAACATATGGAACTGCGACAGCGCGCCGCCCCGGGGACTTCATCGCCACGAACAACCGTCACTGTTGCGTCCTGGCGATCCTGAATCGTGCCAGAACACCATTCTTGGGACTTCAGCGCCGCGAATCAACGCGATGGTTGCGCTCTGAGATTCCGACTTCGCGCCGAACGCCCTCGATCCGCGACGCTCCTGCAAACTCGTCACGCCAGCGCGCGCGGCTCAAAGGCGAGAGCCATATTTCGAAAACGGCCCGCGTTCAAGGCAATTGCAAGCTTCGAGCTTCGAAATCAAACTGCGCGATGAATGTTCAAGCGAAGTGTTTGGCCCGCCTTTTTTCGACTGTCTTCGGGGCGCGACAGGGAGGAGCGATTCAGAAGGGGAAGGAGCGAAGGAAGAAATGGAAGAGGAGGAGGAGGGCGGCGGAGGAGGGAGGACACTTACCCATTCAAGACTCATCAATCATGTTGGGATAAACCCTCTGCCGAAGCTGCCTCTTCATAGACCCCCATAAGAATGCGTTGCCCCCAGTGAAAGAAATGCCCCCCTGGTAGAGAAAAGCTCGAAGATCCGGAAGCGCGCCAAAACGCCATTCTCAGGGCCCCGACGCCCCGAATCAACCTGACTGGTCTGTCTTGACGATCCTGACTCGTGCCATAACGCCGTTCATGGGACATCAGCACCGCGCGCCAGCGCAATCACTAAGGCCTGGCAGCCCTGAACCATCCGAAGACCATTCCTGGTCCGCTGACCAAGGAACGGCCCTCAATCCGTGAAGCTCTTATACATGTTCCAAGCGAATGCGCGCGGGGCTAAAGCAAGAGCCATATTTGCTTTTTTTGTTTCAAAACCCCCCGCCCTGCATCCGCGAAGCTCCTGCAACGCATGACAAACAAATTCGCGCGTCGCCAAAAGCGAAGGCCACGTTCTGGAAACGGCCCGCCCTCCATCTGGGCCGCGCTCCGTCCAATTCCCAAGCTTCCAGATCGTAACTGGCAAGGAAGTCGCACGCGAAAGGCCCCGGGCGCCGTTCGACTGGTCTCGAGGCGCGACACGGAGTCATTTATAAGGAAAGGTAATTGAGGGACGATCTAGCTGGGATCTAGCTGATCTAATCCACTCCACATGAAGCGGCGCATCTGGAGCCGACGGAAGGAGGCCGCATCCATCCCCAGGCCTGTCTTGGGCGACATGGGGCGGCCTCACAAAAGCTCTTCTTGAGGTGGGTGCCGACCTGCGCCCCCCGTTCCGTCGCCCGTCTTGCAAACCCTGCACCTTCGGTCATGTCGCGCACGAGCGAACCCCAGCATTGCAGCAGATGGTGCTTCGCCCGTGCTTTTCGCTCGAGCTGATCCTTGCACTGGACCTTACGGTTGCCTCGCCGCCTTTCTCGCACGGCCTGGCCGCAGCGCTGTAGCTGAATCTGGGCTCTACCTTTGCCTTCCCTGCGGGCGTTGCCCGTGCTCAGCGTTCTCGCACGCGCTGCCCCCAGCGTCGTAGCAGATGACGCCCGGCTGCGGCCTCGCTTCGGAAGCGACAACGACTGCTGCCACTTCTCACCCTTCTCGCACGTTCTGTCCCCAGCACATTTCGCACGACCTTAAGCTCCAGCTTCGCCGCCCGCTTCTCGCAGGGTCGCGCTGGATACGCCCGCCGCAGTTCGTTCATTCCGCATGCCCTGAGCCCAACGCTGCGGCTGTTTATATCGGGCTCTATCTTCGCCTCCATCTCGCTGAGCAACCACAGCGTTGGCTGTCACTGCTCGGCCTCCTCACACGCACGAACTGGCCCATGACGCTGGCCCGCACGGTCTCGCCTTTCTCACACGGCTGGCCCCCAGCGCAGTAGCTGATGATGCCTGGGGACAATGTTTGTGACCTTCTGGGGGCTCGGGGGGGGTCTGGAAGATCGCGGACGCCCTTCCACCTCGCGTCGATCTGCGAACTGCATTCTGATGGCCTCCGTCAGCTTCTTCGGGTCGCAAGCGCCGCCGTTACTCGCAAGCAATTGGGATCGTTGAGCCTTGGTCAAACCACTCTGCTTCAACAGGAGATAGGCCTCGATATCGTCATTCAACTGCGTAGTCCTGTCGGCCTCCAAAAATTGTTGTCGAATCTCGCTTCGCTTCGTCAACCACGAGCCCACTGCCTCCGCGCTGCGCCGGCTCGAACTGTCGACATACCCGTCGAAAGGGCTCGCCCACGCAGTTCGGACAGATCCATTGGATGGCCGCCTTCAGCGCCATCGCGATTGCCTCCACCCCTGAGTCCGACCCCAAGTCCATATTGTCGATGTTGGCGGCCTTGACCGCAAGATACGTTCGCATCTCAGACCATGGTAGAGCCTCGGGCCTGGCGGCCCCGTCTTCTTGACCACACCCTCCGTAGTACCGACCTGCAGCGTGTCAATCTTGCCCACGCTTTCTTCCACCAGCTCCGGCGTGCCGTCGTGCACTGGAATTCCCTGCTCGATGGACAGCGCCGGCGGCATGACGAGGGCGGTGAAAGCCTGGGAAACGATCGTCGGCGTCGTCGTGAACAACGCAGTGGTCGCGGTGCCGTGGACCACCGCTCCGCACACACCAATGTGAAATACACCCCTCCGCAACAGCACCGCTGTGGCAAGCGCCCCTACCACAAAGCGCCACTGTTTGATGAGATGAGGGCCTCGCGCTATTTGGTCGAACATGCGAGGCGGCCGCACAGTTACAGTGCTCAAATGAGGCCCCTGTGGGTATACAGAGAGCCAGCAACAGCAGCGGCACGCTTGCACCACGCTCGAACAAAGCATAGATGTGCGTGAGAGAACCTTAATTGTTTGTTAGACACGCATGTTAGTTCACAAATTGTTGTCAGAATGCTGTTATCACGGAAACGCTGGCACCATTCTTGGGTTACCACTCATTTCGAAACGTGTTTTCGCTGCTGCGCTGGCGTCATTGCCGCGCTTCCGCTCGTTCCGAATCGTGTTCCCAATGCAGTGTTGGCGTCGTTATTTCCAGCGCCATGCTACGGCATGGTGTTCGATCCTTCCAAATAAGCCCTAAAATGTAGAAAATGCCCCTCCGAGAAAACCCTCGGAAGTGATTACACATTCGGTGTCGATCGTTGATTTTTGGGGCCGCACGAGTCACACACACACACACACACACACACACACACCTTGGGGCGTCGCCACGCCATGCTATGTCAGGCTACGCGTCCTCATGCCCGCGTTTCAACACCTTCGGTGTCGATTCGTTGATTTGGGGGGCCACGGAAGCCACACACACACAGTCTTGGGGCGTCGCCACGCCCTGCTATGTCAGGCTGCGCGTCCTCATTTCTGCATTTCCGCGCTTGTTTGTTCCCACAATGCTGCTCTCGTTGGAGCAGCAGCCTCATTTTCGGGCTACCGCTCGTTCCGAATCGTGCTCCCGCTGCTGCGTTGGCCTCATTTCCGCGTGTCCGTTCGTCCCGAATCGTGTTCCCACTGCAGAGCTGGCGTAATCATTACCAGTGTCATGCCACGGCATGGTTTTCGGTTCTTCGAAACTGGGAAGTGATTACACCTTCGGTGTCGACTAATTGACTGTTGGGTCCGCAAAAGCCCCCTCCACTCTTGGGAGTCGCCACGTCATGCATGTCATGCTACGCGTTGATCTCCAACACCATGCTACGCCATGTAATGTTATGGTTCGAATAGAGAGGAGATCTACGCCATGGTGAGGGATGGGAGGGCGGGGTAGGATGTCAGATATGACACGGGCGCGCGTAGCCCCTTTTCCCCTCTCCCTTGTCCCTCCTCCCTTCTCCAGTTTCCCTTCTCCCTCCTCCCTCCTCCCTCCTCCATCATCCAATTATCCATCCTCCCTCTCCTCCCTCCGCCGTCCTCCCACTCCTCCCTCCTCCCTCCTTTTCCTCCCTCCTCCCGCCCCCCTCCTCCCTCCTTCCTCATCCCTCCTCCCTTTTCCGTCCGCCCTCCTCCCTCCTCCTTTTTCCGTCCTCCTCCCTTTCCCATGCTCCTTCCTCCTTCCTCTTTTCCTCCCTCGCTCCCTCCCTCCTCCTCCTCCTCCTCCTCCTTCTCCTCCTCCTCCTTTTCGTAGGCGAGCTGCTGGGTCCCTGGGACCCGAAGCGGCAGCTGCCTCCTCTCCTCCTCCTCCTCCTCCTCCTCCTCCTCCTCCTCCTCCTCCTCCTCCTCCTCCTCCTCCTCCTCCTCCACAATTACTCAATATGAATACTACTTTCCCTCTTCCCCGGATGGCGGCCTGAAAGTAGCCGACCCCCCCCCGCGTACTGTTTTTTTACACACAGGATTCCCGGGAGTTGGGTTTTCGCCTGCGTTTTTTTTCAAAATGCTGCTCTCGCTGAGGCGCCGGCCTCATTTCTGCTCCCGAATCGTTCCGAATCGTGCTCCCGCTGCAGCGTGGGCCTCATTTTCGGATCGGTGTTTGGCCTCCGTCGTTCAGGATGGCGTTCTCGCCCCAGCGCGGGCCTCTTTCTCGCGCGCCCATCCGCCCGCCACCACCGCGCCGCACCACCACCACCACCACCACCACCACCACCACCACCACCACCACCACCCACCACCCACCACCACCACCACCACCACCCACCACCACCACCACCACCACCACCACCACAACCACGCACACACGCACGCACGCACGCACGCGCACCACCACCCACTACGCACGCGCGCGCGGAGCCACAGGTCCGCTACGACACGCGTCCGCGGATAGAGAAAATCAGCGCCATGGTGGATGGGAGGGGGGGTAGGACGTCAGATATGACGCGAGCGCACCTAGCTTGTCCTCCTCCCCCTCCTCCTCCTCCTCCTCCTCCTCCTCCTCCTCCTCCTCCTCCTCCTCCTCCTCCTCCTCCTCCCCCTCCTCCCCCTCCGCGCCGGGCGAGGGCGGCAGGAGGCACACACGCGCGCCTCGGGCGCTCCGCCGGTGGCCTGCCGCTCGCCCTCGCCGTCCTCGGGCCCTCTGCCGCCGCCCTTTCGCCTCTGGCCCGGACGCCGGTCCTGGCAGGAAGAACTTGCCATCGCTCGGACGTCCATTCC